GATTTGAATTATTTAAAGTTAATTTTTTATGTTGGAATGTGATCTTGATTAATTTAGAATTGTTAATTGATAACATTTAAAAAAAATAAATAACTAACTTTCAGTTATGATGGATTATCGTTAAGTTGTATAGATGGTAATTAATAGCTCATTGCAATAAAAAAATATGTCATTTTATCTATCCAATGGTGTTATCATGCTTAATTCCTCCTCCCCAAACCAAAAAAATGTATTTGAATTTTTAAGCTACCCAACTTAAAGAAGTTTTCATATTCTAAATAAAAAAATGGAACTATCTATAGTTCTTAATTATGTAAATAGCTTACTCCAAAGTGTAGCAATTGCTTAAAAAGACACTACACCCGCTTGTGTTGTTTTCATCTTACCATTGTAAGAATAACGAAAACTGTTTTGCATGTGGAAGAATCACTCAAGCTAAGACAACAAATTATCACACTCTAAGAGGAGAATATTTACAATGCAATGCTGTTTTTATTTTTCAATATCAGAACTAAATAAAAAAATTATCCAAGTTTGWAAATTCAAAAGTAACGAATTCTTAAACAATAAGAACTTTATTTATTTTTGATATCAAAAAATTTAAAACAACAGTTACATAGTAAATATTCTCTTCTTTATAGTGTGAAAATTTAGTTGTTTATATTGGATTACGGCTTTAGTGGTTTTATCCATCGCAAAGAAGTTTTCGAAATGTTTTACATTTATTTTGCAAGATAGAAACAACACATGCAGGTGTATAGTCCTTTTAATAATATTGCAGTCTCATACAGAAATTCTTAAAGATCTTATACATATATAATACAGAATTTAATTTCTTGATCATTTTTAAGAACATTTCAGAACCAAGGTATGTTCTTTGGTTTTTTTAATTTTTATAAAATAATATAGATTATTTTATAATCAGTTTTCATAATAATATAATGATTTGCCTTGTTGTAAGGCAAACTATCCAATCAACTCCTGTTGCTTAATTTTTTTTTTTTTTAATTATAGCTACAAACACTTTTTTAAATCTTTTAACTGTAATTCAAGTATTGAATATACAGTTTTTGATGCAGGTATTTCCAAGTTAAATGTTAAAATAATTATCTATTTTATAAAATTTGGATGTCCTATAGGAGTATTAGTACATTTATTAAATTTGGATATTTATAATCTAATCTGAGATAAAACATTATTTAATTCTACTTATYAAATAATCTAAAAATATTTAACAATTTTTAAAACTGATTTTTTTATACTCTCTGAATTGAGATGAAATGATCTACTATAAAATATTATCAATAAAGATTTTTAACTGTCAAATAGAAATTATAAATCCCATCAAAAATRTATTTATTGTTGTTCACAAGTTCATGATGGTGACTCCAAAATGATATAAAATTATTCATGTATGAATATGTCATAATGTACATAATTTATTGTTCCAATTAATAATACTAACCTAACCCATCAACATATAATGTGTACATTTATATTGTAGAATTCTGTTCACTTATTTTGTAACAATTATTTGGTGTAATAAAATAAAACAAACTTTTCTCGTGATGAATAAAACATTTTCAAAAACTCAATCATGCTTAGTTAAAATAAAAAAATAAAATGAACATTGAATATACATTAATAAACATTTATGAGACCATTTTATTTAAACAAAAATTTAACTARTTTTAAGAGTAAATAATTAACTATTTCTCAATTAAAATTTTAAAAATACTGTTTACTATTGGAATATATTACAAAATAATTTATTTCTGGTGTTGAGAATTTGTGGAATTATCTGTCTTCAAATTATAAATATTGATATTTTTTATTTTTATTTTTACCTCAACTTTAACAATAATTAGATCAACTTTGATTGATCTTTGTACAGTAATAAAATGTAAAAACATTGTAATTGAAAATCACAAACATTTATGTTTGTGGTCAAACATTTTATAATACTATTTTAAACTTTAAATATATAACTTATGCATATCTGTAAGAAAAGAAATATAGTTAAGATATGATAGTACACATTTCAAAAAATAATAACATGAGTAATTCACTGTGCGCAACTTAAATTTTAAAAACGCCATTATATTATTTGATACATTTTAATACATATGGGATATAATTAATATTATTATTTAAAACTATTATACGGTTTGGATTTAAAAATAAATTTGTCGAAACCTTTGATAATGGATTACAAAAATACACATAAACGTTCAATTGCTTCTATAAACTACTTGATCGATTATTTATTTTAATTTTACACTAAAAGAGGTTTATGTTAGACTTTACCACAACTAGATATGACAAATGTCTTGGACGGTTTGCCAGTTTGGTCTCCAAACGACGCCATTTTTTCAACGAGATCAATACCATCTACCACATGACCGAAAATGGCTGTGAACCCGCGCATTTCTTGTAGAATAATACGAAATTGTGATCCAACCATACCCATATTATCATGGCGTTTTTGAGTACGGCGCATTCCTACAGCTCCTCGAACTGCTGGAAACTTAGTATCATCAGGCATAAAGTAACCTTCTTCATATATWGATTTGCCACCACGACCATTATTTAACTCAAAATCACCAGTAATCACAGATTCTCCATCCCAACATTGAAATATTGAGCAGCCTTTATACGAACAACCACTTGTATCTCCAACAGTTAATACTTCAAAATTCTTTGACATTTTTGGTGCTATATCTGGACGAGTTTCAATGACTAAACGACCAAATGATGTCCCATTTACTTCAATATTAAAGTAAAACATGGGAAAAGTATTAACACTTCGTATTGAAGGTACATTATTCAAAATAGCTGGTGGTGGACTATTTTGTGATGTTATCAGTACTGGTTCATTTGATGATATTGAGGATAGAGATGTTGTGTATTGAGTGGTTGACGAATTTCCAGGAGAATTTTTTGCAAACTCTGGTCCATTTACAAGTTGTGTGACATGTTTAGGTAGTACATATCTTGTAAACAATTGTGCAGTACAATAGTTAGCTAAGAAAAAAATATGAGTATTTGGATTAGCCACATCTGCAGACTTATATGATTCTAAAGCCATGGACTGTAATGAAGACAACGATTGTTTGATCATACCAAAATCTAACAAGTTAGTTGAAGATATAATATCTTCTAATTGGCCATGTGCAAATTGTTCAGAGTATTTATTTTGTACTTTTTGCTTCACTTGTTCCAGCCGATTTAAATATAATTGTAAATCATATAAGTCGTCTGTACGTAAATTTGATGGTTTGATACTATTTAAAGTTTCATTGGTCTGTAATAAATCGTTTGTATTTTGAGTCCAACCACTATTTAACTCTAGTTCAATTTGAGTTTTCAGGGTGTTACAGGCATCTAAAACCCTCAAGAGAAATTGGCGTTTGTGTCCAAATAAATTTTGAATTTCACTCATCAGTTTAGCAATAGCTATAGTTTCAACTTGAACCTTTAATATAATATAATAATGGATTATAAATAAGTAAATGTTTAATTTAAATAACAAATAATACTTACTTCGCTGATTAAATGGTCACGTGCGTCATTATTTGATTTTATAGAATGTCCAATATGGTCAGATTGTGTTCCACACGCTCGACACAAGAGCTGTTGACAATTGTAACACCAAAATGAAAATGGCATTCCATGTGTATGACAATTTTCCCCCTAAAAAGAAAACAAAATACCTAAATATTTTAAACTATAAACATTTTTAAAATCAATATTAAAAACAAACCTTTCGTTCTTTATCAACAGATTTATTGACTTTAACATTTGCCAGATGTCTAATTAGACTGAGAATAGATTTTTGTGTTCGCAGAGTCTCTGGAGATTGTTCATCTAATTCAGTTCGCTTCCAACAATTTATGCAATACACTTCCAATCCTTTGAGCATAGTAGTCTTAACACATTGCAAACAAAAACAATGTTTACAACTAAGTTCCTTTGGCACAAATTCTGTTTCATTGAATTTCTGCTTGCAACAACCACATATAATAAGTTCTTCAAATTCAAAATCTTTTTTCGTATCCATCATCTATAAAAAACAGACTATTTCTGTATTCGGTATAACAGTTAAATAAAAAAATAACAGAAATTTTTTAATACAAGTATCTGTACCATATGAATAATTTATAATTAAGTAATAATCGAGAAAATAAYGTACAACAATATGCATACCTATATGATACATAAATTAACCCTTTTGTTATTATTTTAGAATTATAATTATCATTGTAGTTCCAAA